CTAAAGATTTGTGTGCCATGCACTCTCTCATAAGTCCCTTTCCTCTTTGATTCTTCCAGCAGATCCCCAAATGCCTCCCATTTCTAGAGAATTGTTCTGCATTAATAACAGACTTCCGTCTCTTCGTCTTTCCAGTAACCTGCAACACTATGAATGAATTTGCCCATTAGGTTTGCAGAGTTTCATACCTAGTCATTGTGGCTTGCTGAATTCATAACAGGATAACATGCTAAGCAATGATTTACAGGCTGCAGAAAGCTGGGTTCCCAGATTGTCAACTATAATCATTTAGTGTGATATATGATCCTGGGCATTAAAAGTTATTTACCAGCCAATCAACATCTGCAGAACAGTCTTAGCGGTCATGCATTTAGTTACAACACAAAGGTCTGGATGGATTCTGAATGGTGCTAAGCAATAAAAGTGTTAAGTTTTAAAACTATTATCTAACTTGTCTGTTTGCTTAACAATTATCCATGGTTACCAGTCATGCTTTGTTGATTAGAAATTTAAGCCCCCCCTTTATTTCGCTGAATTTGTTATTTACCAAATTATTTCAGCCTTGGCTGCCTACTTTATATTTTTAACTTAGCATGTTTTTTTCTGGTTTTATATGCCATCTAAAGTTCGGCAGCCAATAAATTAAAAATTAATAAAACAATTTCCTGGGTCAGCAATAACAAGAGGCATAAACTGTGCAGGTCGGATGCACATCAAAGACTCCAATGTTGGTTTAAGAGTCAGCAGCTACACTCATACAACAGACTTAATTTGATTCATCTATACTCTGACTAAAGATACAAATCAACAACCATCTCTGGGCTTCGACAGCAGAATTAGCTACCAAAATATCTAATTACCGAGCTCACTGCTGCACAAATGAGGCTTTAACAACGGTAGGGTGACCACAACCATGCTGCGCTTTATAAACAGGACTGACATTCAGTAAAGATGGCTTTGCCAGCCAACTGACAGGTAGTCCTTGACTTACACCGGTTCAAAGTTACAAAGGCACTGAAAAAAGTGACTTATAACCATTTTTCACACTTATGACCGTTGCTGCATTCCCATGATCAACATTCAGATGCTTGACAACTATTGCAGTGTCCCTAGGTCACATGAGCCTCTTTTGCAAACTTCTGATAAACAAAGTCAATGGGGAAGCCAGATTCATTTAACCATGTTATTAAGAACTGCAAATTAACAAATGTGGTGAGAAAGTCATATAATGGGGCAAAATTCACTTACATTTTTTACTTAAAACCACAATTGAACCCAAAATTTATATTGAGAATTACATCTATTTGCATATTAATGTATTAGGAAGAGGTAACGTTTGATTGACTCATGTACCTGTGCATCTATGAACACATCTTTATGGTTTTTCTTGGGAATGGTATGGAAGTTGTGTTTCACTGCTTTCATTTTTCCTCACAATGTGTTATTCTCACAACTCCTAGCCATTCTCATCCAAGTATTAACCTGGGCCAGACCTACTTAGCTCTAGGCAATTATCTAGTTATACCTAGGTAGTTTCCGGCTATGCATCTTTATTTAATCCAGTGTTTCTCAAAACCTTGCAATTTTGGAATATGTTGACTCCAAGAAGTCTCCAACTAGCATGGCAGACTGAGGAATTTTAGGAGTCAAAGGTGCCAAGTTTGAGAATATTAAGTTACACCACTCAATGACAACCATTAAGGCTGGACCCCAACAACATTCTTCACCCAAATCTAGCATGTTGTGTGAACTTAACAGTGTCCTAGTATAGTCTAGGCTTCTTATGAAGAATTGAGATGCATCCCATTTTTAGTCAGACTAAAACTTTGCCCAACTCCAAACATTGACATTTTAGCCAAAGATATCACCAAAAATAGTCTTGTCTTTTACTCTTCAAAACCAACAGGAATCAAGAATGCTAACTGAGCCTCTTTTGTGGCTCCAAGCACCAGACTTATTTTGGAGTAAGTCAAGACCCACACTCACTCATGGGATAAATTGTCTGTGTTAAAGACACCCCCCCTTTAAAGTTAATATACAAATGCCCCCCCCCAAATAAGAGACAGATGTCATCTTACCGATCTTCTCAACTGTGGGTCCATCAGGCTCTTGGTTCTCTGTCCTAACAATCTTGGAACAGCTTGCCTGGTCCAGGCGCTCCTTTGTGGAGGAACAGCAGTAGGAGGCCATGCAGGTGCCACAGCAAAACATCTCCTTCCATTGGTTATCTTGGGTGGGGCAGTGGAAAGTCTCAACGGGACTTGCCTTTCCACGCACCCATTTTTCGCATTGTTCACCTTCCATAAGAAGAACCCCAGCTTCTAATTTAGAAAAAAAGAGCATGTGAATAAGTCCTGCTGCACTCATATATTTGCAGAGCTAATTCTTAGGAATAATGGCCAAGTTGTAGGGACAAGGAAAACATCATCTCATAACTTTGATTAGCTTCCTTACAATTTGTACTTAAGTACTTAGTTTTTAGTTCGTAATGCCATCTAACAGATTTTTAAAAAATGAGGGGCGTTATAAACGGCGTAGATGATGGTATACAGAAGGTCATCCAACGCTATTCTCAACTCAACACAGCAATGGAGGAGCTAGACGGTTGACTCGGAAGGCCGCCCTTAAGAGAATACTCATTTATGCCAGGCCAGTTCCGAAAACTTTCTTCCTCGAGGTGTACCCCTAAATCTCAACCAGATTCTCGTGTCCCCTCAGCTGGGAGTGGAGAACCAGCCCCTCCCCCTCGCCAGCAGGAAACACTTCAAACAGCTTTGCACAATTTGCGCTTTTAACTTTGCACAGGCGAAAGATGGCACAGCGAAGGGAAGCCAGGAGTTGCAGGTACCCCGTCATTCACTGCTCCTTCCCCAACCGCCGTTGACCACACTCCTCCTTACCTGGTGGGTCGGTGGGAGAACGGCTAAACTCTTGCGCCGAGGCGCCAAGGCGAATCCAGAGCCTGCTGGTCTCCTTCGCCGGCGGGTCGGCAGCGCGTGTCTTTCCTGGGCGCGTAGGGGACCTTGGGGCTCGCTGTAAGGAAGACTCCTCGGAGGCGTCCAGCAGCGGCACTCCGTAGAGCACAAGGCGGCACGTGTCGCTCCGCCCCGCCCCAGCGGTGTATCCTAGGAAGAAGAACAAGAGGAGAGCGCTGGGCAGAGGCTTTTCCATGGTACAGAAGCTCCCTCAGTTGTGATCTGCGTCTTCTTCCCGACCCTCCCGGTCTGACATACCGCTTTATTAAGGCTAGGGAAAGCAATTGACTTCATAGGAACCTACTCCACCCATTCACACCTGACCTGGTGCAGGAGCCTGCAATATAGACACTAATCCCTGGGTTGGGTGTGGGCTTTGGCTTACTCCAAAGTAGGACTGATGTTTGGAGCTAGAAAACTGGCTTAAAACTCTTGATTCCTGATGGTTTTGAAGATTAATCAAAGTCAAGACTGCTTATGGGATATCTTTGGCTAAAATGTCAACATTTGGTGTTTGTAGTTGGACAAAGTTTTATCCTGGCTAAAAGTAACATGGTTCTCAATTCTTCATAAGAGTCCTAGACTATACTAGGACAATGTTAGGTTCACACAACATGCTAGATTTAGGTGAAAAAGGCTGTTTGTGGTCCAGCCTTAAAGGTTGTTGTAGCAGGTTTTGTGAATGAAACTTCCACATTAAGCCATAATAAGGGGGAGGGGGCTTGGTGCTGTCTGAGTCTGGTTTTCTTGCAGATGTTTCATTCCCAGACTAGATTAACACTGATGTTACCTAGTTGGGTAATGAAACATTTGCAAGAAAACCACCAAGCTCAAAGACCACCAAAGACCGATCATTTCAATCCTGAATTACAAACATTCTCCTTTACTGGTAAACCTTAATACTGTAGTTTGTGGATGTGTTGTAGAAAGTTGCAGTTGAGCTTTGTTAGCCCAAGTTGAAGATATTGTGGGGATATGACTTATATTTCATGGCATTGACAAATGCGCTTAATGGATTTTAACCTTTTAACATTTTTTATTTTTTAGAAAAGTGTCAGTTCAGCCAGTGGAACATAATCCTGGTCAATGTGTTTTGTACCATGAATGTGAGCCAAAATAGCATGGGGATTAGTTTATGGATTAGTATAGGAATCCAGCCACTTGGCTTATTCAATGACCTACAGTATGGTTAAATCAAATCATGCCTGGCCTAAGCTACATGTTTGAATCCAGCCACAGACTAAATTTATGAGATTGGCTTAAATGTTACATTTGTGGCACCAAAAGACAGCATTCATAAAAATGCCACACCAGACCAGCTGAAGGGCGAGCAGCTGCACTGGCAACAACAGGTTAAACTTGGTTTGCCTTACAAGCCTACAATACTAGTTTGGGTTGAGTTGGAGAAGCTGCTATGAATACAATGGCTGAGCTCACATATTGCTAAAAACCAAATAGATCACATGGGTGACCATCCCCTCTGAGGATGGTCACCCATCTTATCTGCCTGCCTTGGAATGAACCAGAAACTTATATTTGTTGCTTACTTCATCCTGTATCTTTGATACTCTCTTGGCAGGACCCCAAAATCCCATGTAGAGCCTCTTCAGAGAGGCTAGAATCCAGCAGAAACCAGGTTTAAAACATCACACAAACACATTATTTATTGATGATTGTTACATTCAGAAAGTTACAATAAAAACAGTGTGGACAGTTCCATTTTAAAAAGCATTTCAAACCCCTTGCCTACCTATTCCTCTTTAAGGTCTACCACAGCAGCAACCATACAACCTTCCTGTTTCGTTTTAAAGTATGGTCAGTCAGTTGTTAAAGCAAATATGAAGAGTTTTTAAAAAGGTATATTTTTAAACAACACATTTTTCCACTAAATATGAAGACCAAATCATCCCACCCAACATTGAAATGGTCACTTACTCTGCCTTTGGTTTGTTTCCACTAGCATTTGAACTCTCTCAAGTCATCAGAAAAGGGAAGAGGGGCAGTTCTCTACTTCAGCAATAAGCAGAAGTGTCTTGTCCAACCTATTACTCTGAATATGCTGTGGGACTTCAATTCTAAGCCAATGAAACTAGGAATTTTGGAACATGCAGTTTTAGCTAGGGTGAAGAAGGTAATTTCAATACATTGGATCAGTGTTTCTCAGGTCTGGCAATTTTCAAATACTAGGATTTAAAGAATTCTCAGCCACCATGGCTGGCTCCGGAATTCTAGGGGGTTGAAGTTCATTTAGGTTAAGAAACACTGCATTGGATAATATTCTTGCAAAGAGTTTCTCCCTCTCCTCCAATTGCTTACAAGCCACATATTTTGGGGAGAGACTTATTGCTAAGTGGAAAAGTACCCATAACTATTATTTTCTCTTCTTAGATACTATGCAAACAAGGACTGCTCAGGTATCAAGACCCCTTTGAAAGTCATGGCTGGGAGACATTTGATCCCAGCCGCCAATAGAGAGATTAAAGAGAGCTACTCAAATGCATTGACCAGGGGTTCAGGTATGTGAGAGGAGGGGGAAAACCCACATAAACAATCCATGTACCAGTGTCAAAGCAAACAGAGCAGTACCTTCTAAAGATGATTTAGAATTTTAGATATTAAAAAACAGAATAGTTCTGATCCTAATGTTAAAAAAGATAATGACACCAATGCTGAGTTTTGGGGCTTGCTTAATTCCAACCCCCAGAGGGACCAATCACTAAATCTGTAGTTGAATAGCTGTGTTTTGTTCCATGGGACTTCCAGAGCAACCAGATGAAATGGCCACAGCCACGGGTGACTTGGAGGTTCTTTGGCACTCTTCAGCCACTAGGATGATGGATCAGGATTTCCAGAGGCAGCTTGTCTGGATGCAGGATGCTCACATTCCACATCTAAGTGCTCATTGCTAGGTCTTTGGTGATTGAGGGTGATCTTCTCATCTTGGAAATAGGAAACCACCATTGCTATCCAAATGCAAATGCACGAGACACCAATTACTGCAAGGACTAACCGAATGTTGTTGGCTGAAAAATAAGAAGCTGTATGTTACTTGTTCTCCTAAATATCTGGCTGCATGCCCTACATCACATGAACCCTTCCTCTTTGGTTGCAGCAGACAGTAATGCCTCTCCTTTCTATAGAACTGTTCTCATGCTTTCCTTGATTAAACTTGAAAGCATTTTGTTGACTGTTATTTTATCAGGTGGTTTTAGTTGGCCTGACCGATTTTATGTTTTTAATCATTTAAAGGTCCCCCCCTAATTTTGCATACCAGTCAGGGTCTACTAGAGTTTAAATAAAACAATTGTTTGATTCTGCAATAATATGATGCTGAACTAACTGTCCTGGCTGAGTGCACACCAAAGACTCAAGCTGTGGTTTGAGAATCAGCAGCTGCATTCATGCACCATGCTTAATCTGGTTAGTGGTTAAGGTAAAACTCATCTATGACCATCACTGGCCCTGTGCAACACAATAATATACAAAAATAAGCTAACCAAGTTTTGCATTCCTGTATAAAGAATATTGCTTAGTATTTAACCGGGACGAACACAACCAATGGGCACGCTGCAAATGGGACTGACAGGCAATAAAGATTTTGCAGCCAACTGCTAGACAAGGATTTGCATATTAATACATCTGAAAAATTCTGAATTTATTCTAAAAATAACTTCCTGTGGTCCTATGAACATGCCTTTATGGTTTGTTGACTGCTTTCTTCATTTCTCTTCCCAGTTTGCTATATTCAAAATTCCTAGCTGTGTGTCAATTGCCTAATACTGTCTCCTATGGATTTCTTTAACATGGTGTTTCGCAACCTTGGCCAACTTTAAGAAGGGTGGGCTTCAACTTCTAGCTGTCCTCAGCCAATGGGGACTGGCTCAGGAGTTCAAGGAGCTGAAGTCCACACATGTCAAAGTTACCAACTTTGAGGCACACGGATTTACCCTCCAAAATCAAAATCAAAATACCCCTCAACTAAGGTATGGACCTCATCCTCTTACTTGACTTCTCAAGTGGGGTCACAGCAAACAGCACTGCCCTGTGGTCTTCTGTCTTCTTAATAATCTTTGAACAGCTTGCCTGATCCAGGCGCTCCTTTGTGGAGGAACAGCAGTAGGAGGCCGTGCAGATGCCACAGCAAAACATATCCTGTTGGTTATGTTGGCTGGGACAATGGAATGTTTCAACAGGACTTGCCTTTCCATGCACCCATTTGTTACATTGCTCACCTTCCATAAGAAGAACCCCAGCATCTAAGATTAAAAAATGAAACAAAGCATACAAATAACTCCTGCTGCACACATACGTTTGCAAAGCTGGCTCTATCTCTAGGAGCAGTTAGATCAGGGGGACTAACATTGGCAACTTCAAGACTTGCGGACTTCAACTCCTAGAATTCCCCTGCCAGCCATTCCTCAGTCCCATTTTCCAGAGGACGACTGGGGAATTCTGGGAGTTGAAGTCCACAAGTCTTGAAGTTGCCAAGTTGGTCACCCCTGAGTTAATGGCCCAATTCCAAGGACAGATAACCATCTTAGAATTTAGGTTAGAGAGTGGGAGAAAGACGGTAAAGTCCATTCCCCACGCTCACAAACCACATTTTGGGGGGGGAAATGGGCAAACCTGAGCATGGTAATTTAAGAAAGTGGTTCATAAGAATTTTTAAAAATGGTTATAGTTATAACACGAAGGAGAGTAACCATTTGTGCTATGGCAACTCCGAAGACTTACTTCCACCAGGTGTACCCCAACATCTTCTCCTCCCACTTTACCCGGCGGTGTTCAACGCTGCCCCGTCACTTGCGCTCTTCACTTAGCGCAGACGAAAGGCGCGAAGTACCGCGCAATAAGGAAATAAAGGGGAGCGATTGGAGCAACCCATGCACCCCTAACCCTCGAATAATATAACCTTTCTTACCTGTCGATTCTTCCGCGGACAATCGGCTAATCTCGCCCGCTGAGACCCCGCTAAGCAGAGTCCAGGGGTAGCTGATCTCTTCCGACGACGGGTTGCCAGCGCCTGCCTTTCCCCGGCCCATAGGGGAGGTTTGGGCTCGGTGTAAGGAAGAAGCCCCGGAGACATTCAAGTGCGCGGGGCATTGCATGAGGTCGTCCAACAACGGTGCTCCATAGGGATCGAGACGATTCGCGTCCCTCCTACCCTCCCTGGTCGTGCAACCTAGGAGGAAGAGCAAGAGAAGAACGCGGGGGAGGAGCCTCTCCATGATGCACCCTAAACCGGGATCCCCGTTCCTACCTCATGATCCCAGCCTGCTAAGCTGAAGAATCCTCCCTTTATCGCGCTCCAAGGCGCAGAAAAAGCAACTAGCATCAGCTGGCCAGGCTAATAGGAACCTTCTCCACCCAGTCACACAAGCCCTGGTGCGAAGTAGCCTGGAACTGACCCCTTGGAAATGGATGTGGGGTTCGGCCTACTCCCAAGGAGGACTGGTGCTTGGACGTAGATTACTTGGTTAGTTCCTGATTTTGTTTTGAAAATTAAAGAGTGCATCTGTGGGATATCCTTGGCTAAAATGGGGTTCAGAGTTTTAGCATGGATAAAAGTGGGATGGCTCTCATTTCTTCATAAGAAGCCCAGGCTGCCCCAGAACAGTGTGCCCATCATTAGGTTCCCATAACATGTTAGATTCTGGTAAGGTCAAAGAAGATTGTTTCTCATGGAAGATCAATTGTTGTCTTAGTAGTTTTTGTGAATCAGACTTTCCTGTGATGAAAGAAATGTCCTTCTGGGTTCAGCTCCAAGTGGGAAAAAAGACACTGGAGACATGGAAGCTGCTTGGAAAGANTTTCCAGTCTAACACAGCTTTCACTTTTCCTGGATCCATTTCTATCCCCTCGTTGGAGATGTGATAACCTAAGTAATCTAGTGAGGTCTTGTGAAACACACACTTCGAAAACTTGTCCCCACACCCACAAGTTCATCACATGGTCCAATCTTCCTCTGCCACCCTGGCATTTCCACCCATCTAGTTCCGGTCAGGTACAGAGGTGCGGAGACAAAAGATGACCTTGGGCTTCTAGAAAGGAATGTTTTATTTTGACAACAACATATTCTGCTCCTTACTATTCCCCCTTCCAATTCCCCACTAATGAAACAGCATAGTAAAGAGAGAGAGAGAATGTGTCACAGGCCAAAGATCCTAAAAAGAATATGACTGCAGGCCTGACAAATAGTTATAGTCAAATAAATGTTTAACAAAGATAATAATTGTATACATAAATATCAGATTGATAATACAAGATTCTATATAAATTGTAAGTGAAGACTATGGTGAGGATGCAGAAAAGTTTTTTAACCAATTGACACACTGTACAAAACTGGAAGATGGTTTTATGTTTTATGTTTGTCTGTGTTTGTTTTTTAAAAAAATTAAAAAAAAATTAAAAAAGAAAAAGAAAACACAAGTAAGGGAAGCTGCACACAGGTATTGTCAAACTCATCCCCAAGTCAGTAGACAGGCTGTAAAAAAGTATACATCTAATAACCACTACGTTAATCAGTCACAAATGAAATCAATGCCTTGGACTAATAAGTATTTGTCTGGTTTTAAATATGAACCTCAGACTGATTATTCCAGGGACAAAGTTGTTGATCTTGGACCCTGGTTACCCTGTGTCTGGTGCCGTACTCTAAAGTGGCAAGATGAGAGTCCCGGGATGTGCTGCAGTGGTGGTAAAGTCCACCTCCCCCCCCTTCAGACCTACCCTGAACCCTTACACAGCCTTCTCACCCACCAGCATCCAATGGCAAAGCACTTTCTTTCTGCTGTCCGGATGTACAACAGATGCTTCCAAATGACATGTTTTGGAGCCAGAGAGGTGACGGAGTGTGGGAATAATTTCAGAGACCTGCTCCCAGAGGATGTGCCATAGTGTACACGAAACAATGAAAGCGCATGGGAATGTGGAAAACAGGATGANTTCCCTAGAATTCTGGGTAGACTGAGTTGAACTGTAACTGGGTTAATTATCTTCTCTATTGGGAATGGACCTAGAAATTTTGACCTTAATTTCTTACTAGGCACTCTTAATCTTATGTATTTGGTAGATACAAAAACTTTGTCCCCCACATGAAAGGGAGGTTAGAGTGAGCGGTGTTTATCAGCTTGCTTCTTGCAAGCTTCTGCTGCATCTGCTAGAGCTTTCTTCATATTTTTCCACCCTTTTTTTAGTGTGTCCATCCATTCATTCAGAGACATGAAGGAGGGAGGTTCTCTAGGAAGCTCAGGCATGGGAACAAATTCCATGCCACTGGTAATCTGGAAAGGAGTTAATCCCATGCTGCTGTGGACCGCATTGTTGTACGCCACTTCGGCAAAGGGTAGCAAGTCCGACCAGTTGTCTTGCTGATAGTCCACATAACACTGGATGTATTGTTCCACCATCGCATTGGCCCTCTCCGCTGCACCGTTCGTGCTGGGATGAAACGCTGAGCTGAGTCCTTGTGTGAACCCAATGGACCTCAGGAACGGTCTCCAGAACTTGGTGGTGAACTGGACTCCGCGGTCTGAAATGATCCTCTTGGGCACCCCGTGCAGGCAATAAATGTGTTTCACAAACATTTTCGCTAATTTCTTTGCAGACAGCAACCCTGAGCAAGCAATGAAATGCGCCTGCTTGGAAAACAAATCAATAACTGTCCAAATTAATCTATTCCCGCTGCTGTCTGGGAGCTTGACGATGAAGTCCATTGCGATCTCCTCCCATGGTCGGCTAGGGCTGGCCACTCGTAGTAGTGCAGGGGGCTTCTCTGGGCGTGTTTTCATCGTTGCGCAAGTAGCACAGCTTTTTACGTAATCTTCCACCTTCGATCTCATCTTTGGCCACCAAAATTGACGCCTGGTGAGGTGGAGCATTTTTAGGAATCCAAAGTGGCCTCCTAGTTTCGCATCATAGCTTCGCTGTAGAACTTCCAGCCTCAACCCTGCAGGGACATA